TCCCATGCTTACTGGTTGACTTGACCACAGATGGGATAGAAGTACTGAATAACCAGGAGGAAGGAGTCTTGAAAACAGAAATAACTAGCGTAAAGTCTAAGTGCAAGAGCCAGGAGGAGTCTTTCCTGGTGGCCACAGGTTACATTTTTTATATAAATATATTGGCATAAAGAATGATTTCTGGGTACATTCCATTTGTCCTTTGTTTCCTCTCTCATATGATTATATGATTATTGATGTCATTAAGAGTGCATTCATCAGGCCTGCCTGTCAGAGACTTGCACTTATTTTGTACCCACAAGCAGTTTTGAGGTAAATCTCTCACTTTAGGGCATTAGTTGATCAATACAGACATCTGTATTGAATAATCGCTGTCCCACCCCCTCCGTGTGCTTCTGTTGTCTTGATCTTCCTATGAAGAAGCCACTCAGGATGAGATGGGGACAAGAGTTAGGTAGTGTCCAATCAACACTTGCTTGATAGCCTCAGATGTACGATTCTGGCAAACTCTTCTCCTTGCAGGGATGTCTTCTAGAACCTTCATACCAGGTCCAAACTGAATTGCTTGTCCTGTGCACTGTGGATGCAGAGGGGACCGAGCTCTAGCCTTGCCACCCGGTGATTTCCTCCTCTGTATCAGGTCCTCTGGTGCCTGGATCCTGCCCAGCTTTGGTACGTTTTATTGGTTAGGTTTCACATGTGGAAGCTAACTGTATTGTCAATCCATAGCTTGATCAAGCTATAGATTTTTTTATTAGAAATTATTTTTTTTCCTCAGAATCTTAAAGGCATTGGTCTCTTTTACCATCTCATGTTGCTATGGATAAAGTTTGCTGCTGTTGTTTTTAGTTAGACGTGATCTTGCTCTGCTGCCCAGGCTGGCCCAGAACTTGCTGTGCAGCCCAGACTAATCCTGAGCACTTGGTCCTCTTCCTTCAGCTTCCCAAGTTCTAGAATTCCAGGTATGCACCACCATGTGTGGCTTGAGAAGTGCTGTGTTTAATCCATTGTATGTAACTTGTTTTTTCTCTCTGGAAAATTCTGTCATCCTTTCTTTGTTCTTGGTGTTCCGAAATCTCACCATGAGGCAGCTTGGGAGTCAGTGGGCAGAGAATGGTGTCAGCCTCAGTTTTGTAAGTCATCCTGTCAGCCCTGAGGCGTCAGTAGCTCAGGTGAGCTACTTACCCTTCTCAAGCCTTTGTTTCCTCATCTTCAAAATGCAGGCAAGGATAGCACAGCCTCCTGGTGTGGTGAAAAGTAAGTGAAAAGCATCTGTAAAATGCTTCAAACCAACAGTTAGTATGCTGTTTAAACTTTAGGTCTCATTAACATTTCAAATACAGAAAACCTTTCACTAGGAATCTGGACCTTGAGTTGTCATCTTCCTGAGATTCCTCTGTTATTTTCTCTGGAATTCCTGGTATTGGTCTGTTGGCCTTCCAGACTAATGTTCTCATTCAAAAAGAATCTTTCCTTCATTGAGTATGATGGAGCTAGGAACCCAAAGCAAATCTGTGAAATTGGCACAGCAAGAGAGTTGCTATGGAGAGTTGTAGAACAAAGATGCTTGAGGCCTACCAGTGCATGTCAGTATTCAGACAGAGGGCTGTTCCTACAGGTAACATTAAATGTGAACACGCTATTTCAGAGGTTTTGAAGGGTTCTGAGTGTATGGGGTACTTGTGTTTGACTGCTGTCATTGTTCCTAGATACTGATACAAGTTTTAAAGCTGTTTCATGTGTATGGGTGTTTTGCCTGTGTGTTTATCTGTGAACCGCCAGTGTGCCTGGTGCCTGTGAAGGTCAGAAGGGGGCATCAGGTCTCCTGAGGCTGGAGTTCCAGACAGTTGTGAGCTGCCGTGTGGATGCCGGAAATCCAACTGGGTCCTCTGGAGGAGCAGCCAGTGCTCTTAACTGCTGAGCCATGGCTCCAGCCCTGAAACATGTGTGTGATAATAGAGGTTTATTAACTTTGTTTATCTAAACTATTAATTTTGTTCAAGTTCTATACCATAATTAAAATTTGAGCAGCATGCAATAGTAAGGGAAAAATCTTTTCTTTATCCTTTTGAATTTCTTAATGTATGTCTTTCTTGTTCTAGGAACTTGCTAGTTTTCCATTTTAAACTTTCCTATATGCTCTTAATTTCATCTCTTTTGTTTTGCTGTTTTTTTCCCCTCTGAATGATTCTTTTTAAATGGCAATCTGTTCTTGTTTCATAGATACAACATGTTTATTTTATTTTTGAGAACAGTGGGGTTTTTTTTTTATTGTTTTCCTTAAGATTCGTTCCCTGTCTGCTTGTTTTCAGGTCTGTCTTGTGTTAGAAGCCGTCCATAGAAACAGTCTCTCTCTCTTGCCTGATCATGTTTATGAGCACACTAAAAATGCCTGAGGAAGCTCTGTGCCTGTGGGGAGGGTTCACCCATATGGCTCCATGTGTAGGGACCTGACAGGGCTGTTGTGTTGGAAAACCCTCAGCAGCTTCTCATTTTTCTCTTTGGATGCTCAAGCTGCAAAATGAAAATTCTTGGAGTCTCTTGCCTGGAAGACAAGCACTTGGCTGCCAGTCGTGTAGGGGTAGGAAGCTGGCACCTTACTGTTGAGTGGGGACTTACATCATGCCGTCAACACAGCACACTGTTTCAACTCAAAGCAGAGATGCTCCACATTATCGCCTGCCGAGTATGGTGGAGGCAGTCCTCTCCATAGGATGCAGGGAAGAAATCTGTGATCTGTTTCTTAACCCATCTTCCCTTTCCTCTTGATCTTCACCTCAGCCCCAAAGGAAAGAGATATTGCCAATCCCAGGTCTCTAGTGTGTGTGTGTGTATGTGTGTGTGTGTGTGTGTGTGTGTGTGTGTGTGTGTGTGTGTGTGTGTGTGTATGTGTGTGTGTGTGTGTGTGTGTGTGTATGTGTGTGTGTGTGTGTGTGTGTGTGTGTGTGTGTGTGTGTGTCTTGGCTTTCTTCACTGCTTGATTAGAAAGCAGCTTCTCAGCTCTCACTGGAAAGTGCGCTCTCCAGCTTAAGGGTTTTGCTGTTGTTACCAGCTCTCCTGTTCCATTTGCCTTTGTAGGTTTATGCCACTTGCAAACCTTTTCAGTGTTGTTTTAGGGTGTTGCAGGAGGAAGTGGGGGTGACTGTGTCCCCTCTCAACTTTAAACACCATCTTGGTTAAGTTAAAGTCCTCCTCCATTCCCACCCTCCCTTCTCTCTCAGGAAAGTTCTTTCAGCGTAGCTCAGGCTGACCCCTACCCCTCAGTCCTCCTTAAGCCCCCTGACCACTGGATTACACGTGACTCGATTGTTACTTTTTATCAGTGGTGTAGGTGGGTGAGCACACAAGCATTTCCTCATTTCTAGTATAGAAAACTAAATGTTTCTAGACTTTTGGGAGTTTGAATATTTAATATATATATGAAGAATTCACAGATCACACACAAAAAGAACCATTAATAGCAAGGTAAGCTAAGGTAACCAAGCAGCCCCCCACTGGTGAGGAAAAGCTCCTCTCTACATAGTGGTGATGTATAATGCCACAGGATTCCTAGTAAAACATCTGGGACGAAAACAATATTAACTCACTACATGAAAGCTTATGTGAACAATGATTCCTTCAAATAAAGGTCACCAACAGATTCTACAACTACTAGTTGAGAGAGGCTAGGGAAATCATGTGGTGTCAAAGGCTTGTACACACAATGTTTAATACTTACTAGAAGATGTGCCCTTTGTAATAGAGAGTTCGGCTATCATCAGATGATCTCACCATGTCGCTGATGTTGAGATATATATATATTTTCACAGCTTTCATCTGCAGCCGGGTAACAGGAAGACCTGTCACATAGTGCCACAAGAAAAATGAGATGAATTTAGGTTGCACAGGATTTTACAATGAGCCCCATTCCTTCTCTCTGGGACAGAGAGGCTGGCTTTGAGTAACAGGTTTAGGAGACATGACTGTAAACAATACATGTCCATGGTATTTGGTTGGAAAATCCTGCAGAGAGATTTTTGGCATGAGAGAGTGGAATTTGGAGATGGAGTCAGTGGTGCAGTTTAGCTAGAAAAGCTTAGTAAGACTACATGGGAAGCTCCATGGGGCAGATGTGGCCAGGTGTTGTTGGCTACTGAGTCAAGACGGCAGGGATATAGATGGATTGCATTCTTTTATTCTACTTTTCTACTGAATTTTTCAAATTAAGAAGTTTGTGAAAACTACCTACTAGTGTGAAATTGTGTAAGCCTGGCCTACTGGAAGCAGGGACGAGTGTTTCATAAGGCTACGTTGTCACTGGGCACCTAGGAAGGAGGGTACTGGTGCTGAGTTCACCAGAGCAGTGGAGTGAGGTGGTTATTCGCTCCAGGACAGATGAGTTTCAGAAAAGTGAATGTACTCCGGGAGTGCTCAGGTGATGGTACAGAATAGTCGACTCGCTGGCAAGATCAAGTCCAGCAGTTGATACTAAAATCTCACTGAGATGTCACCTGCCTAGTTGTGAGCTGTCTCTGCCATTGTCACTAAAGTGCCTCCTTCACGTGGGAAGTCTTGAAGGTGCTCTCTCTTCCTCCCTCTTCCTTTTCATCAGTTTTTTCACATCTTTAAATTTTTTCCTCTTTCTTCAAACAACATGAAGTAACTGCCCTGACTACTCAGTTATAGATACAGTAACAATTAAGATACAAAATTGTCGGGGCTCTTGTAGAGCCAAATTGCCCTAAGAATATAGTTCCTGGGGCTAGTGAGATGGTTCGGTGAGTAAAGGCAGCTGCCTCCAAGCCTGATGACCTGAGTTTGATCCCTGGGACCCACATGGTAGGAAGAGAGAACCAACTTCCAAAATCTGTCCCCTGACCTCCACACATGTGCCATGCACACATGCAATAAACAAACAAACAAACAAACAAACAAACAAACAGATGTAAGAACTCTGTCTGTCTGTGTGTCTATCCAAAGCACTGTTTGCCGCTCCATCCATTTCTTGTCTTGTGATACAGGGAGCTGGACTGTGCCATGTTACGGCGCCTAGAGAAGAGGATTCTGGTTGGTCTCCCCAGCCAAGAGGCCAGACAAGCCATGATCTACCACTGGCTGCCCCCTGTGAGCAAGAGCCATGCCCTGGAGCTGCACACAGAGCTGGAGTACAACGTGCTGAGCCAGGTGGGCAGCCTGAGAGGGAGGCTCCAAGCTGCCCAGCAGGGCAGTGGACCCCTCCCCATGAAAGAATGAGCTCCGGGAGACTGGGCTATGGTGGAGCCGAAAATGGGAGCTGCAGGGAGTAGCACACGGTGCAGATTCAGAGAGCCCAATGTCAAATCCTGCACCTGTAGCAGAGAATCCAGAGAGGGTTATTGTGATGAACTGACGAATCCTTTGCAGAGAAAAGCCCGAGATGATATGTATCTTGTTAATCCTCATTGGGTATTGTATTAATTGGGGTTCACAGGAGAAACAGAACTTATAAAATGAGTATATGTCTATTCAGTATACATGTGTAGGCATACACATACGAAGGGGATATATTAGGATGGCTTACAGGCTGTGGTCCAGCCACTTCAACAATGGCTGTCTACCGTCGTAAGGCCCAAGAATCCAGTGGTTGTTCAGTCCAGGAGGCTGGATGTCTCAGTTGATCTTCAGTACACTCCAGAGTTCCAGAGACGTAGTTGAATAGTTCTCTAATGCCAGTGAGGGAATGGACTTGCTAGCGAGAGTGAGGACAAGCAGACAGAGCAAGCTTCCTTCTTCCATGTCCTTTATAAAGGCTGCCAGCGGAAGGTGTGGCCCAGACTGAAGGTGGATCTTCCCACCTTGAAAGATCTGAATTAAAATATCCCTCACAGATTTACCGGCTGCTTGGGTTTTAGTTAATTCCAGATGTAGTCAAGTTGACAGTCAAGAACAACCATCACAGGCATCATTCCCAGGATATCTGCTGCGGGTAGACATTTGAACCCAATGTTTTCGAAAGTCCCTCAAAAGCAAGAATGGCCTTATTTAACACATGAACAAAATACTCACTGTAGCCATCGTGGACTTAGGATCAAGGCCCCACTAGGCAACACTGGGTGTCCAGTGCTCCAGCTGGCATCTCACAACGTATTTGAAGGTATGAGGAGTCTGTCGCCCAGATGGCCAGTTAGCTGGACTTGTTAGCACCTTCTCTCCCTCCAGCACTGCTTCCCCAGGGATGCTGGCATAGTGAACAGGGATGACAAAATTCTAAGCCAGTGTCCGACACTGGATCCTGCCTACAAGAATGAAGTGGACACTAGCATTCTGCCTGCTGACTGATCCTGGCTTTGTACGCTTTCAGGAGACAGAGGGCTACTCAGGCTCTGACATTAAGCTAGTCTGCAGGGAGGCAGCCATGAGGCCTGTGAGAAAGATCTTCAATGTGCTTGAAAATCACCAGTCAGGTATGGTTGGTGTCCCACGGTGATGGCGGCTTGGGAGAGAAATTTGTGCTTACTATCCCAACTCTTGGAGGGATGTGGTGGCGCATGCTTGTACCCAGCCACTTGGGACCTAAGGTGGGATCAAGTTTAAGGCGACTTGGGTCACATAGTGAGCTCAAGGCTAGCCTGGGCAACTTAACAAGACCCCGTTTCAAAGTACAAATACTAAAAGGGACACAGCTTAGTGGCAGAGTGCTTGCTTTGCGTGCAAAAGTCCCACCCACTCTGACCAGCAGGTGGAGCCTGGCGCCTGGTTTTCCAGGCTCTGTGGTTTTTACATTTGTACGCTCTGTAGTCAGATCATCATCCCCCATGTACTCAGCTGCATCCTCTGCTGCAAGACTCCCATTGCTGGGTTTTTATTTTTTTTTCTGGCACACGCTGATGTGGGGCTGGACCCACCTGAGGTACTAGACAAATAGCACATAGTACTTTGATAACAGTATGTTTAAGTCCCCTTTGGAGGCAGGGTGGGGGAGGTCAGGCCTGAAAGCCTCAGTTGCACGTCAAAAGTTCCCCCGATAGCCCTCTTCAGATGTGCCTTTGAGCTGCATTAGCTGCCAAGAACGAGATATCATGCACTGTCCGCAGACCTGGCCCAGTAGCCTTTCAAGAACTCGTCATCTCGAGGTGCAACGCTGCGTCCTGACTGTTGCCTTTTTGTCTAGAAAGCAGCAATTTACCTGGGATCCAGCTGGATACCGTGACCACAGAGGACTTTTTGGATGTGTTGGCTCACACCAAGCCTTCAGCAAAGAATCTGAGTGAGAGATACTTGGACTGGCAAGAGAAGTTTGAGTCTGTGTAAAGCTGCACTCAGCCAGACCTGGCCAGAGGCAGCGAGAGCCTCCACAGTGTGACTAGGATGGAAGGGAAGAGATTATCCTTGAACGCTGCATGAATTTGGACAGCTGTATTATTTTGGAAACGTGAGATCTTGTGTCATGGGTGTCAGCAAAGGGAAGATTTGGGTTGCAAGTCAGGCAATGGAGGTTTTTCTCACAATTCGACTATAAAATTTTGAAGAAGTTTCCTGTGGTGTTCCTTATTTGTGAACTGAGGTCTTCATTTTGGAGAAAAGTATTTTCTTAGTCTCTGTTCTTAATTTCTTTCTTATAACACATTCTCAAGCCTGTCAGATACCATCAGTATCCAGCCCCCCCTCCTCCCTCCCTCCCTCCCTCCCTCCCTCCCTCCCTCCTTCCCTCCCTCCCTCCCTCCTTCCCTCCCTCCCTCCCTCCCTCCTTCCCTTTCTTCCAAGACAAGGTCTCATTGTGTGGTGCTGGCTGGCCTGGAACTTGCTCTGTAGACCAGGCTGTCCTTGAACTCACAGAGACCCACCTGCCTCTGCCTTCTGAGGGTTGGGGTCAAAGTGCTGCACTAACCCACCCAGCAATATGCTCTCCTAAACAGCTGAACGCCTCCTGTAACTCCATTCTCCCTGCTGCTTCTGCTCCAGGGGAAGGAGACCAGCACAGAACCATATTTGTCCCCATCCTCTCTTTTCAGTCCGTCGGGCCCCAGCTGACCGCCATGACCACTGCCTGCCACCATCCTTCCCGTCCCCAAGCTCTTAGCTTCTGTTTTCCCAGAGAATAAAGGAAAGTCTCCATTCTCTGCCCCGGCTACTCAGGGCTTCTGGATCCCAGTTAGTTTGTTAGCTAAATTTCAAGCACTTGGCTTTTCAGCCCTGCCTCACATTTCACTCTCCTGGTGTCTGGAAGACTGCAGTCTCTGCAAGTGTCCTGCAGGATGAGTGTGTATGTGTGTGTGTGTGTGTGTGTGTGTGTGTGTGTGTGTGTGTGTGTGTGTGTGTGTGTGTGTGTAAGGTTTGGCCTTGTCTTGAATTTGCTGCTCAGTTCGCTGAGCGTCCATCCATCTACTCTGCATCTTCCATTGCTAGACCTTCTCACCTGCGTTCTCCCACTGGCCAGTCCTGTGGGCTTGTGATTCTCGGTTCTTCCCCGTTAGTGGGGGTTTGAGAAAGGAGACCAGCTAGTACAGGGGTTTACTCTAGAGTGTCTACAGTTATTTGTTCTGCGTGAGTGTATGTCACACGTGTAAGGATGCCACGGAGGCCAGAGGAGTGCGTCAGCTCCCCTGGGTCACCCATAGCCAGAGTCATAGGCAGTTGTGAGCTGCCCAGCATGAGTGCTGTGTACCACACTAGGGTCCTCTAAAAGAGTGCAAGTGCTCTAACCACTGAACCATCTCTCCAGCCCCCTATTTATTAAATTAAATTTATTTGACAGTTTCATACATGTGTTTAATGTATTCTGGTTACTCTCATCCCCTACCCTCTCTTCCCTCCCTCCTACTCCCATCACCTCTCCCTCCCTTTCCCTTGATAATTTTTTTGTTTTGTTGTTTTGTTTTGTTTTATTACTCATTGAGTTTAACCAAGGCACGACCATGGGTATGGAACTATTCATTGGAACTGGTGGGCTCATCTGTGGGCATACAACTGAATATAATGACTCCCCCCAGCATCCATCAATAAACAACAGTTACCCAGGGAAGGGTAGAGACCCATAAGCCCCTCCCCAAACCGTGACTGATTGATAGGCCCAGTCTTTCCCTCCTCGCCCCTCCCGAGACAGGGTTTCTCTGTGTAACACAGCCCTGGCTATCCTGGAACTCACTCTGTAGACCAGGCTAGCCTCACATTCACAGAGATCCACCTGCCTCTGCCTCCCGAGTAATGGGATTAAAGGCATGCACCACCACTGCCCTGCCCTGCAATAGGCCCCAGTCTTGTGCAGCTTGGCACAGGTACCTGGAGCTGCTGTGAGTTCGTGATTGTAGAACTAGGACATGCTTAGCAGAGAGTGCTTTGTAGCTGATCTCCCAGTCATCCAGCTCTAACATTTTTTCTGTCCCCTCTTCTGAGATGTCCTCTGAACTCTAGAGGGGCCTAGAGTTAATTTTTCAGTAGGTTAAAGGGCTGGGAAGATAGCTCAGTTGGCTTGCCTTACAAATGGGAGGACCTGAGCTTGATCCCCACCATTCACATAAAAATGCCAGGTCTAGTGGTGCATGTTAAAACCCCAGTGTTGGGGAAGTAGCAGAGAACAGGAGGCAACCCCGGCTCACTGGCCAGGCAGGCTGGCCTGATTGGTGAGCTCCAGGCCAATGAGATCCTGTCTCAAAGGAGGTGGATGGTGTTTCTGAGGGTGACACTTGAGGTAGTTCTCTGGTCTCTAGAACATATGTGCACATGCACACACATGCATTTAAAAAAGATTATACACATATTTTATATAGTATGAGGAGTTGACTTCTTAGTAGTTGGAATAAATAAAATTTGACTTAATCCAACATGTGGGGTATTTTATTGTTATTCATTGTAAATCAGAGTTCACAACTCCAATGCCTATGGTAGCAAGGAAGTTGATACCACATGAGTAATGAGTGCTAGGTATAGCAGGAGGCGGAGGCAGAGAGGGAGGTGAACTGGTGAGGGCCAGAGACTCTCTGAAGGACACAGCAGTGACTAAGCCCAGGTCAACATGGAAATTTAGGCCTAACATTGCCAGATCTAATCTGCATAGAAACAGCAGCGAGGGACTTGCATCTGAACATCATTCTCAAAATGCTGGCAGCTGGGGTTCGTCACCCCTTGCTCCTGTACCACTGGCATCCTTTAGATACCTAGCTGGTGGACCACACTTAGCTCCGGTAACCCAGCCTAACTGTCAGTGCTCGTCGGCATCACCAGTCGCGAGCACTGTATTGGCAGCTGTGTGTTGGATTCCGTTTGCCCTCCTCAGACGCAAGCTCCACGGTCTGAGGTCCTTCTTCCTTTCCTACTGATTTAATGGAATGTTCTTTAAAACAGCGTAGGCCCCAGAAGTTATGAAAACTCTTCCCAAGCACTCAGTCTTTGCACTCCATACAGAAAGTCTACCATTGTTTTGAATTTGTCGGAGTCCTTTATATTGTTAGGTTTTTTTTTTTATATGCCTCAGCACGCTGACTAGAAGATACTCATCTTAGTAAGCACTTAATAAATGCAAATTCCTCAGGCACGTCAGTCATGGAAACAGTCCCAGTGTGTATGACATGGAAGCAGACTCTTGCAGATACTCAAAGCTGTGAGTGATCTATGCAGTTTATAAGGTTTTTGACTTCGTGTCTCACGGCTGCCTCTTAAAGACTGAAATGTGCTTCTAGCTAGTAGGTCTTGATGGCTGGTATCATAAAACGCCAGCAGAACCCTCATGAATTTATGTGGAAAAAGTCTTTGTGATTTATGACAAATAAACACGATAATGTAAACATGGCTCCACACAAATGACTGAAATATGAAAAAGGGATTCATTTTGCCACTCAGGGAGGAGTGTTTTGGTCAAACAGATTAATGCAGTTTTAAAAATTTTTTATTGCAGGCGCCTAAGGTCTTTAATTTCATGTTACTGGAACCACTGATCCAAAGCTAACTGAACATAATAAATACAGGGTGTTTCTACCTTCCCCGCCCCACAGGATCCTGGGTTTTTAAAGTGTGGGATTAAGGATGAAGTGACAGTGCTATCATTCCACGGTAGCCTCTGACATCACACCTGGAGACATCTGTGGAGCTGTCACAGTGGGGTGGTCCCTTTCCTATGCAGAGCCACCACAGTGAGGTGGTCTCTGTTCTGTGCCTTGTCATTATGATAGGCTCTGAGACATGGTGTGGCGGGCAGGCAGGCAGAACTGCACCCAACCTGCAGCTGTGTGGGGCCACTGGATTGGCTCATACTCCACCACGGTGTGTTCAGTGCTCATGAGACCCGTCATTTCCCATCATGCCCTATCGTCAGCCCCTTTCTACTCTCATAGGATCATTTAGTCCATCTTCTGGCCTATAACATAATTGTGAGCCCTTCATATCAATACAACATAACCCTTTAATTATGAGATGGCCTGTGTGGTGGCTAGTGCCGTCCCAATAGAACCTAGAACCACTCTGGGCTGCTGATGGGGGATTATCTTAGTTTTGTTGAGGTGGTAAGAACTATGTGATCTGGGTGGCACCATTTCCGTGTTGAGATCCTGGGCTGTATAAAACAGAGAAAGGTCCCTGAGCAGTATGGTACGTTCTTCTGAGTGGGGCTGTACTATGGACAGCTGCTTCAAGCTCCTGCTGCCTAGAGTTCCCTACCATGAAGGACTTGTACTGTGAACTGTAAGCTAAAACCTCCCTCCCTCCCTTCCTCCAGTTCCTTCTCACAGGCATTTTGTCACAGCAACAAGAAAGACTAAGCTAGCTGGTGGAGGACGCCCCTTAGACATCTGAGTTACATTTCCTGCGGGAGGCCAAGATGCCTAACAGGCTGAGGCGCTTTCTGGAGTGTTTCTAGCAAGTCTAAGACAAGCTTCTGCACTATCCTCCTGGACCTCCAGACAGGCCAGCTAACAAGCCCTAACGTGTGTTAAATGTGTTACAGAAACACCCCGAACTAAGATTTCCATGGTTCTCAGGGACCCTTGAGCAAGCTGCTTCTCCAGGCTGGATGCCTGGCTGAGGTCTCTCCCATCCTGTGACCCTAATGCACCTGATCCACCATGAGCTGCCTTTGCTTTAGCTCTGCCCTGTCTCCAGAGCATCAGCCCCACTGTTTGCTTCCCTCCATCCACAACAGCCAAAGAGCATCAAATTCCTGTGATATTTAGTTCAAAATTCCACTGGTTCAGTTGCCTGTGTGGCAGCAGACATAAAAAGAATGACTCAGTCTTGGCCAGGGAAGAGATGTGGGACCACTTGAGGGAACTGGGCAAGAAGCCGTGACACCTCACTCCATCTTGCAGCTGGGGGATTCACCAGAGAGGACACGGAGTCCTGCCTTCCTACTGATCTTCAGTATTGTCTCTTAGGTTCTCAACTAGAAAGCCCCTTGGGGTAAAAGCCTTTTCTTCTACACTTATTTCCCACAATAACCTGGGCCAGCACAGCAGTTAGTGCACAGCAGCTATGGAATATAATAATTCCCCAGCAAGGAACAATCGCCCTTGGCACCCAGATCACAGACCACAGATGGATGTGGCCTCTTCCCAGGCACCAGGGCAGTGCTGCTTTCAAGGCTGAGCTTTCATCCACGTGCAGCTCTTCCCGAGGTCTATGCAGCACAGCATTTGACCCTTCAGATCAATCTCATCAAGACAGCCCTCTTCAGGTTGTCTAGGGCAAGTACTTATATGGGTTCCCACGTTTGATGCTCACAGCAATACTGTGTGGTGAGGGTCGAAGTGACTTACTCTTGCTCGCCAAGCACCAGAAGCTGTACCCTCAGCCACTCTGCACTTCTTTCTGACTGGGCATGGTGATCATCTGCACTTGACAGTGTGTAAGTAGTAGGTTGGGGCATTTGTAAAACCAAGAAAGAAGCACTTACTAAAGTACATTTATTTAGCTTTGTTCCCTTCCATCCAAGACAGAGCTGATCTCTAAACAAGCATCAATGCTGAAGCTCATTAACATTAGTGTGTGCCTCAATAAGGTGAGCACGGCAATGATACACAATTACATTCTAATAATTCAATGCCCAAGAGCCCTGTAAAACAATTGCCACGGCCTCAGATTAGCACAGCATGCAAATGCACCAGGAAAATCATTACCTACTTAGTCTCCTTCATTTGGGTGGGTTTAACACGAGAAGAATAATCCAGGCGCCGAGACGAGATCTCATTTTACAACTGTAGTAAGAAGTACATAAAAGTTTGAATCTGTCCCAATAGTTCCTAAAAGATTTCTCCCACAGTGCCAGAGGCAAAAATAATGAAATCTTGCAAATGTACAGTTAATAGGTCCCCAGTGGACACTAACTTCAAAAATGCACGGTCTATAAGACATTAAAGGCTTGATTTCAGTTTCTGCACTGTTCCTGTTAATAACAATGTCTAATTAAAACATCTGTAAAATACTGATAGTTTTAATTTTACATAAAATTTCCAAAACAACTGTTACACAGGATAATAGGTATCTGCAATGAATAGGTTATTAATGGAAATATTATTTTAAATTAAATTCGGGTTCTAAATTTAAATTAGTCATCTCTGGCTAATGAAGAGAAAAAGAAGTCATCTGTGCTGGGAGTGCAGTGGAAGATTTGGCTTTCCACATCTGTTAAAGCAGCGTCCGTCACTGGATCTCAGCAGAAGGACCTGCCACGCTGCTTCTGCCTTGCACTCGGCCTGGCTCTTCTGCTGGGTTTCACAGTGAACTCTGCATCTCCATGACAGCCTAATGCACTGTCTGTGCATCCCTGTATGATTCAGCTGTACTCACAGACAATCCCCTCTCATTTCCAGCAAAGAGAAGTGAGAACTACTGCTTCTCTACTCCCCAAGGAGCTTCTCTTCCCAGCCCAGTGAACCTGATGAATATTTTAACAGGAATGGCACAAAATCTCGGCTCTCCCTTTCTTCAGGTCTCATCTTCTTTCACAAAACAAAAGAGATTAGCAAAGCTTAGGGCTGGCTGCAATTCAATACCCCTCTTTCTAATTAATGCACAATGAAAGAAGGTTCAATAGGATCATCACTGGATGGCGCTGTCTACTGAGGCCACTGGGTTAGAAAGGGATCCATCCAGTCTAGACAATGGACGCTGTGGATCAAGCAGCCTCTCGTCACATGTGGGTTCACAGGAGATGCTGCAGAATGTGGTCCACAGCGTGAGGGAAGCTCTCGCAAGTTAGGTAGGGAGGTGGATTAATTTTGTCTTCGTCTGCGGCTCGGTATTTCCCTGAAACGAAGGCAAAGCCAGTGAACAAGAGCTACAGCCAGGACGCCAAGTTCAGCAAACCCAGGAGCACCCCGCAATCACCAGAGAATCAACGGCTCTATCTCCCCCAAAAGCACCTTCCCCTGAGGCTTTAGGAGGTAAGGGGACACAATTCAGAGAACCGTCACATTCATCAAATCCCAAGCCCTCTGATCTTTTACAATGGATAGTTCTAGGTATGGGGTCACCTCACAGGTAAGGCTTCCTTCACATCACAGAATCATGTTCTCCCTGACCTTTGTCCTAAAGATGGGCTGGTGATCTAATACATCAATGCTTTTAAAACAGGAGACTAGACATACACCGGGTGCCAAGTGCAGGCCTGCTGCCTAACTGTGACTCTGGAATTCATGGGCCTGGCACACCAGTCAGTCCAAAGGGGAACCAGTCCATGCAGGGGGTGTCGGGGAGGTTTTCCATAAGGAGGCCACAAGGTCCCGTTCCATCACTCTTACTGGGCCAGTGCCTTTCCCCTTCCCTCCCCTCCCCTCCCCTTCCCTCCTAGCATCCAGTTGTCTCCACAATGTTTCTGATTTGTAGCTACCCACTTGTTTAATGACTCACAGCTGTGGAGACTGTAAGTTTCCTGGGAACAGGGATTACGTCTGCTCTGCACCCTGAAGGATTCCTAGCACCTAACATCATGATGGCCACATGGTGAGCATTCTCTAAACATGCCTTTAAAAAATGGACAGGAGAGAAGAGAGGTGAGGAGGGAGGAGGAGAAAAAAGGTAGCTCAGCTCCACCCTCCAAGAGGGAGGTGGCACTGGCCTGTGGCCTGCATGACTGCGGTGCATTTCACTTTCTTTCACTGTCTTCTTTTCTATGACCTCTATTTATTCTTCAGCCATATCAGGGTTTCTCCCCCTGAATTTAGCTTCCCTCACAAAACAGACTTCTTCTTTCAGAAGATGGTTCTTGTTCTGTCCTACTGGAGTTCTTCCAGTGAAGGAATCGGCATCAGAGGTCTAAGCGTGATTAACACATACTTCACTGGCCCTCACATCCTCGAGGCACTAGTCCACACAGCAGACTACTGCTGCGAGCGAACTTGCCGGCAGAGTTTCTACCTGGCATGCCCGACTACTGCTGGGCCACCCACTTTCTAGAGCCAGTACTCTAAGGGACAAGTGTCTAAGCCATGGCATTCTGGAATGCTTCTGCTAGGCTCAAATGACACAGTGGCTTAGGTGTGGGTCTAGTTGCCCACGTCATGGTGTCTGGCACAAAGCAGGTGCTCAGTAATGCTGGCTGAATTAATGAAGCAGTGTGCACATCTGCCCACTTCCCAGCAGCAGCCAGTGCCTTCCGGGGTCAATAAAGAGCGAGGAGAGGGAAAGTAAAGGAGCCATGTTGATGCTATTCGATAAAGAGTCACCATACTGTCCTCTCGATCAGTATTTCACATGCTAAACAGAAATAAATTCCAGTTAGGACAAGTCAGAAGTCTTTTTTTTTTTTTTTTTTTTTTTTTTTTTTTGGTTTTTCGAGACAGGGTTTCTCTGTGTAGCTTTGCGCCTTTTCCTGGAACTCACTTGGTAGCCCAGGCTGGCCTCGAACTCACAGAGATCCGCCTGGCTCTGCCTCCCGAGTGCTGGGATTAAAGGCGTGCGCCACCAACGCCCGGCTCAGAAGTCTTTTTTATCAACAGCTGAGCATACAAAACTGACCACTGACCATATGCTACCACTAAGAGGCAAAACTGCTCAAGACAGTCCACGAAAAGTGCTTCTTACTGAATATGAATTCAGATGTTCAGAGTCACTTAAATTCCGGGACAGCTAGTGCTTGTCCACTGAACTGTTCTCGCGGTTTAGAATGATGGGCTTCCTCTTAGTTTTCCCAAGATCAACAGTACAAACGGCCTCTTCTCTTGAGGGCCATAGTTGCTTTACTGACTGCATGTTTCAGATGTTGGCTTCTTTAGGACTAATGTGACGCAGCTGAGAAGGCTGCTGACCATGACAGCTGGACAAAAAGAAAGCAGAGTAGGCAAGCTCAGCCAGGGCAGATGGGCCATTCACAGTACTGCACCGATCCAGGTTTGGTGGTTGCTATAAATCCTTAGTTGTATGAGCTAAAAAAGGGAAACATTCGTGGACATTCAATAGCCGAAAGGAAAATAGTTATCCTTGGGTTCTCTCAAAGGTAGGAGAGTGAAACAGAACACAGGGAGGGTGGATGGGGCTGTTTTTCTTGACTTCTCCTCTGCTTCCTTGTTGCTTACATCACAAGGCTATAATGCTCCTGGGTAGGAGATGATGGAGAAATCTGAAGAGATGCTGTGGTCATTCTGAAGTGATGGTGTTTACTGTTTGCAAGGCTCCAAACAGCCCCCACATGAGCTCGAGCATTTTCACACTGCACACAGCGCCTTGTCGGCGGCTTTTTACTGAGCATCCTTCACTGGCCCTCACATCCTCAAGGCATCTACACTTTGGTTTTGTTGCTAAACTCAAAGCAGCTCTTAAGAGATCACCCTTTTGTGGTCACAGTCCTGGAATAACTCTTCTGTGACTTCATGTTTTCATGCTTGCTTGATCCAGCCAGCCAGTCAGCACAGAGCTGAGCCCAGAACACAGGGTAATCAGCCACTGTACTGCTGTCAAAAGACTGGATTAGCAGAGCCTGCCACAGGAGATATTTCCTTTTCCTAAACTTGGGAGACTGTGGGAAGGAAACTAATTTTAGTGGAAATAGTTTGCAAACTCTTGGTTTTCTATGGTGCTAAATTCAAACCCAGGGCCTTGTGCAGTCAAGCATCCTACCACTGAACTGTATTCCCAGGCCCCTAAGCTTTTGATCACCAAAACAGAATAAGTTAAGAGACAAGAAAAATGTTTTCTGCATTTCTTTTAAAAAGTGCACAATAAAAGACAGGATAAAAGCATCTAGCAGGTCTGTTCCTGGAGATCAACTTCCTCATTGTCCAGCCACACAATACAGGGGTTATTTTCAGAGCCCCATGACACAGGCCTCCTGCTTACTCTGATGTGAGTCACATGTCTAGGAAATGCTACAAACTGTGGTTCTCCAGCCTGCCCTGCCTTTGCGCAGCACGGCTTCCTCGCTGCCTTTTCCCTGGAGTCCTAAACTCAGTTCTGAAGAGCTCTGCCACCTCTGCCAAGGCTCTTCTTGCAACTGTGACCTCTACTACCCTGGCTCCTGGGAGACAGGGTTTCCTGACTGGCCTGGAACTTGCTACATAGGCCAGACTGGCCCCAAACTCACTGCAATCCTCCACGCTCAGCCTCTCAAGTGCTGGGGTTAAAGGTGAGCCACCATGCCCCACTCCACCCTTATCTTTGAAAAGGCACAGATAGGAGATACATACCAGTTTTGACCAAGATGCCCAGCATGCCAGTGTTCTGTGCCCCACCAACATCATCCCTGCAATCCTGGAAAAACATAATGACATTAAGTCCAGAGTCTTCACTCAGCTTGCCAACAAACTCCAGCAATGACTGATGGGCTGCACTGGCCACCTCAAATTCCCCAAGTCTTGGTTAAGGTTTCTATTGCTGTGAAGAGACATCATGACCATGGCAACCCTTATAAAGGAAAACATTTAACTGGGGTTGGCTTACAGTTTCAGAGGTTTAGTCCATTATCTTCACAGTGGCATGCAGGCAGATACAGTACTGGAGGAGGAGCTGAGAGTTCTACATCTTGATCTGCAGGCAGCAGAAGCAACTGTCCCACTGGGCATGGCTTGAGCATGTATGAGACCCCAAAGCCTGCCTCCACAGTGACACACTTCCTCCAACAAGGCCACACCTCCTAATAGTGCCACTCACTATGGCCAAGCATTCAAACAAGTGAGTCTATGGGGGCCATATCTATTCAAACCACCCCTGCTTTTCTTTCTTAAAATGCAAGAAAAGAACGTGTATAAAGGGTTAAGGAACTCTGTGTAAACACTCTTGGGAAAGAAGCCATGGTGATACTTTCACCACCAGGGACTAAGAAACTAGGAGGGAGTCCAGCCCCAGAGGTCGCCATCCTGCTGTGCTCGGTAGGAGACCCACCTCTCTAGGTTTCAGTTTCCTAATGTGGAAAATAAGGGTTAGGCCAGACAATCTTAGTGGTTGCTTCCAGCCTGGCATGCTGTCATTTACAGCTACAACGAACCATTCATACCAACTTACCGTACACAGCACACATAGCAAATAATATCTTTCAATTTGTGAGGCCAAAAGCAAGGTGCACATCACCACAGCTTCTACTCATTCCAGGCTCCGCCCCACTACTCAAAGAGCTATAGTGGTCACTATCCCTCGCTAATAGATACATTGATTCAGTAATTCCATAAGTATATGCCAAAAAGACAACAATGGTAGAATTCTTCTGTTATAGGTTGTTTTCTGTAAAAGCTACATTTAAAAAAATTGAGATCTGTATTGGAGTTTTCTTTAGCAGGATACATAAAGAATTTAGCTGACTGGAGTATAAATGGCATTTCATATATACATTCAGTCGCTATGGAGACATGTTAGACACAACATCTCTATTTTTACAGAATACCACTGAACATCTACAGGAAAGCTGCTCCAGGAAGCAGGGATTTGAACCTGTATCTCCCAGCATGACAGACAACTCAGGACATCCCTTAGGTTCTTCTACTTACATCTCCTATCATGATGGCCTCCTCCGGTGCACAGCCAGTGTCCCTCAGTGCCTCTAGGAAAAACGTCTTCTCTGGTTTCCCCACTACTATGGCTTTCGTGTCTGTGGCATACTCTAAGGCAGTCACAAATGGTCCTGGTCCCAGGGCTAAGCCATCCTTCCTCTTGTAATACCTGGACTTGTGGACAGCTATCAGAGGGGCTCCATCCAGGAGCAACCTAGAGATGAGGAAATGGAGACAGGCTCAAAGCAAGTCTTTCTTGAGTGGGAAAAATGTCAGACTTACAAAGTGGTTTTATTCACATTCATAGAAACAAATAGTTTCATATTAACTTTTAATGACTTGCTGTCTTCTAATGAATTCACAAAGAACTGCTGGGAATTGCATACAGATACACTAAAGAAAGGTGATAGATTATTAAATTTGGGATTGCTTCAACCTTTTACCTTTAGTGATTTTACACACTTTACCCAAATCACCAGGGAAGGAGAATTAAGAGAACTAAAGCTAAATAAGGCACTGGAGGGAAGAAGCTTAACTTAATGAGACGAGTTGTTCCCTCCCTAATGGGAAGCAGGAGGCTCCAGAGCCTCTGAAGCCACCACAGGGTTGTTGCTGCCGTGATGGAGGGGCGCACGTACCAAGTACTTGCAATTCTGTCTCCTCTACTTCAGAATGTAAGTTTCTTTTTCCTCTGGAAGTTTAACAGAGAACGTTCTGGTTCCCTCATACAGCCTTCCGACTGCTCTCAACACTGCAATCAGGCCGTCACTCCAAAGCTCACTACCAAGGTTTGAAGGATGGCCTACCACAAAGTCTACCACAGGACAAACCATACTCCTTTACTGAACGAAAGGTGCCAAGACTCCCGAGTAGTGTGAGAAACAAACTCTACATGTAACTAGGGAGCTAGTGACTGGGGCAAAGACCATGCAACCTCTACAACTTAATACCTACCCCTCAAACTGCCACCTGTCCCCACAACAGCTAGTCATGTTTGGATTACTGTGTAACGGGATGTGAGACGTGATATTATTACTTAATCTGATTTAACCATGAAATAAATGACCTCACTAGCTTAATTTACTTTAAGTCATCTACTTAGTTAAAATATTTAGTATGTCCATGGAGGAAGAATTCATCACATCTTATCCCTCACAATTATGAGTAATTAAGCGCTCAGCTATGAAACTGCTAAATTATTCTTGTCAGTGGGTACCGAAATAACTTCCTGTGGGAGATGCAGAATTCAGACATTTATGATTAAATATTTTATTAAGTAAAAACCAATGCCGGACTGTTACAGAGGTTTACTGTTAGTTACTACAAATTGCTCACAGTCCCTGCAGGACAGAGTCTGCACAGCCCCTCTGATGGACTTCACGAACCACAGTGATAGCAATGACTCACCTAGCCCCGCCTCCTAACCTCACTGCTTCTGCACCACGGAACTGAAATTCTTTATGCAACAGACCTCAAAATTGCTTTCCACTTAGATAGCTAAACTAAAAACTCACTTGATTTAGCTTGGTTAATATTTTATTATATATTAACTGGGGATGAGAATTACCATCTTGATTGATGTGTGTACTTAATTTCGAGTGTCTTCCCTGGAAGGGCTGAACCTGTGGGTTCCTCTACATCTCTCTAAGCCCGGGCTAGCTCTGGAGTGTCTGGGAAGGCGGCTCTTGTTCTCTGCTGAGCATGAGCCTCTCTGGATCTTGGAACAGTTGAAGCACATTTAAGTAAATGTTTTCTAGGCACAGGTTTAAAGGTTTTTTGTGGTGAAATATTTTTCAGAAAATATGAAAACAGAGCCAGGCACAGTAGCATATGCCTGTATTCTCAGACTCCCCTCTGTGGAGGCAGAGGCAGAGAGATCTCAAGTTGAAGACCAGCCTGGACCACACAGTGAGATGCTGTGTCCAGGAAAATGGTAAGTATAGTAAAAGCAGCTTCTTCTCTACCCTGAGTGCTCCTGTTGAGGGCAACAAGGGTAGCTTTCTATTTCTGTTACTAGAGGTAACATGTTGGCAGGAAATGGAAAACTTTTTGACTTAAGCCTATTATGGCATAAGAAATGAGGGGGAAAGACAAGAAGGCCTGATAGCAAAGCCTCTGCCTGTAAAATTCAGGCGAGCAAAGAAAAGACGTGAAAAAATCCCAGCTGGAGAAGAGAGCCACACAGACAATGCAAGGCGGCACAGGAAGAGACAAGCTGCCCGGAGGCAGATGGGTACTACAGCTCAAAGCTGCAGAGCATCTCAGAGGGATCCTCTCACACATCAAGTCCACTTTCTCTTGTTCCACGGAGATCCAGAAGCAGGGTCAGAACCTGGAACTCTCTTCGACACCATCTTTTCAAGTAACTTCACTGATGACAGGATCCGTCTGTCAGCATTTCCACTGAAGATGGGCTACAGCTTGAGTCTCTGTCAGACACCTCTAAACATCTAACGAGCCAATCTCCCTCACCCTAGCCCCTCAAAACCTCCCTGCCTGTTTTTTCCACCAGTGACTCAAGCCAGGAACCCAGGTTTACCTGGATTTCCCACTATCTCCGTCTTCAGAACTACTAACTTCTTTTAAAACAAAAATGAAACTATCTCAAAACCCTCTTTTTTCCTCTGAACTGAACACAGCAGCCTCCCAGCAGATCTCCTGCATCTGCTCTTCCTAGTATTCCAGTCCACTGCACAGGCCAACAGTGGGAGTCTGAGCATGTTCCCTCCTCCTTAAGACCTTTCATAAGTCCTCACTGCAGGTGATAAGGAATGCAGCTCACATAGTGGCCAGGTCTTCCCCTGGCCCCACCCAGTGCATCTCCAGCCACCTTCCTAACCGTTCAGACACCGTCTGCTCTCACTTCCTAGGGAAACTCTAAAATTCTGTCCTGCTTCACAGACTCAATGTCCCCCCGACCCAAATGGTACCATACTGTCCACAGAGCTTTCTCCTGCCATCTGACAGTTCTGGGCTTAAGTGTTAGGCATAAAAGAGAACATTTCCATCTCCTTTGAGTAAATGGGCCCCTCTTTACTTGCCACAGTAGTTCTATCCATCTGTGTTTGGTTTGTCTTCCTCACTGGAATATAATCTCCAAAATGCCCTTCAGTGGTACTCCTCACTGTCATACCTCTTGCAAAATGGTTCTGAACAAAACTCCAAAGAAATGAAAATACATTTTATTTTTATAGGCTGGAAGATATATTGTCATTTAGGTGCAAATCCATATATTTAATAAAGCATCAGTGAGTGCCAGGGAGCTCCTAAAATTTATATGGGTGCAAAGGATGAAGCATAGCCAAGGTAATCGTATGACAGTCATGGTAGCATAGAGAGGGAGAACCTAGAAACAAGCAACATACATGGTCACTCGGCTTATGTCAAGTCATTCGGTAGGGGAAAGAGCAGGTCTCTCTATATAATAATGTTTTCTGAACAAGTGAATATGTATTAAGAAACGACTCCTTCACCAGGCATGGAAATGCACACCCATAACCCAGCTCTTGGGAGGCTAAGCAGGAGATGACAAATTCAATGCCAGGCTGGGCTAGGCAGGAAGAGCCTGTCTCAGGCCTCACTCTATCATGCATTCTTACCTCATACGAAAGACTCAAAAAGATCCCGTACCTACTTGTTAAAGGCAAAACAAAGCTTATAGAAGAAAACATAGTATCTCCATGTCCTCAGGGTATAAAGATTTATTAAGCAGAACAAAAGAAAATAGTGACAAACTGGGCCCCATCAAAATTATGAACTTTGTGCTCTCATTAATAGGAGAGCAAAAAGGCCCAATCCTCTCCAGGCTGAAATATCTGCAGTACCCTGTGGAAACTAACACTAGTATATAAAACACATAAAAGCCAATTACATGCTGGGTGGTGGTGGTGCATGCCTCTGATCCCAGCACTGGGGAGGCAGAGGCAGGTGGATCTGTGAGTTTGTGGCCTGCCTGGTCTACAGATGTCTCGAGGACAGACAAAGCTGTTACAACAGAGAAACCCTGTCTTGAAAAACCAAAACAACAAACAAACAACTAAACAAACATAAATAAATAAATACCAATTATACATCAATACAAAAAGTTAACTCAGCCAGAAACAACAAAAGATGTAAATGGGCACATCATAAAAGAGGCCATCTAGCCAGGTGGTGGTGGCGCACGCCTTTAATTCCAGCACTTGGGAGGCAGAGGCAGGTGGATCTCTGTGAGTTTGAGGCCAGCCTGGTCTACAGAGCGAGTTCCAGGAAAGGCGCAAAGTTACACAGAGAAACCCTGTCTCAAAAAACCAAAAAAAAAAAAAAAAAAAAAAAAAGAGGCCATTTAATGTACAATAACAAATGAAAAGCTTTCCAACATTACTCAAAGAGAAATTAAGAAGCCACTGTGTGTACCAAATGGAAGAGCCACAGTTCCACAGACAGTCAACAGACTGGTGAGGATGTGGAGGAAGTGGAGGGAGCTAGTGAGAATGTATGACTTGTGCTGGTACTGGGAAAACCAGCAATATTGACGGAACTAAACCATCACCTACTCCGTCCAATATCTGACAACTTCACTCCTAAATACACACCCAAGAGAACAAACGTGTATGTCCCCCAGAGACGTGCAGAAGACTGTTCAAGGTAGCAAAACTGGAAACAAACAAGAGCCCAGGAACTGTGGATAAAGAGGCATGGAAAGCTCATTCAATATGCCACACTACACAATGCAAGAATGGGCAAGGCCAAGAGGGAGGCTCCACTGCCTGTCACCACGTAGACAAATCTTGGAACAACAAAGTGACCCGTGCATGGCTTCATTCAGCGAAGCTCATGAACTGGCTTTCGTGAAAGAAACTAGAGCAGGGGCCACCTGGGGGAGGAGCAGCACCGCCAGCAGTGGGACGCCTGGGTACAGTGCTCTCTATTGTGAACACAGATCAGGTTACACAGGTGTCTAATCTTCTGGGGTGCACTTTCTACAGTCCTCATGTCCAAAGTTTTAACTTCTTATTGTCTGGACTCGTAGGAGTAGGTTCTCTCTTTCCACTATGTGGGTTCCAGAGATGGTCCTCAGGTCATTGGGCAGCAAGCACCTTTATTCACTCAGCCATCTCGCTGATCCTTTTTGGACTTTTACTAGGACTGCAGAGTAGATAGCTATTTCAAAAACAGAAGACTCTCACAACAAATTTCTAATTTGACCTTGGTACCACACTACTCTGAAATTACTCCTGCCCAGGGTTCTGCATAGATTCAAGCCTTACATGCAAACAGTACTCACAGAGGTCATGACTGTTCATCTACCCTGTCTCGTACTGTTGTCTTATTTTGATTCATAATTCAATATACTGGAACACTTAAACCTCATTTTTGTTGCTGTAAAGAAGATAAGCTCGGCCGGGCGGTGGTGGCGCACGCCTTTAATCCCAGCACTCGGGAGGCAGAGCCAGGTGGATCTCTGTGAGTTCGAGGCCAGCCTGGGCTACCAAGTGAGTTCCAGGAAAAGGCGCAAAGCTACACAGAGAAACCCTGTCTCGAAAAACCAAAAAAAAAAAAAAAAAAAAAAAGAAGATACGCTCCTAAGCAAGCACTCTTCTATTCAACAGCAACTATAAGAATTTCTTCCCCATCTTGTTGGGAAGAAGGGTTCAGTGGGAGAGGGAGGGACATGAGAAAGTGGAATGGGAGGTTAAAATGACTAAATTTCTTATATAAATCCATGGAAGTATAAAAAAAATAAAATTACTTACATGTATGAATGTTTTGCCTGTGTGCCTGTGAGGGAACCTATGCATTTGGATCTTCCTCTGGAAAGGTGGCCGGTGCTCTTGATGGCTGAGCCAGCTCTCCAGTCCACCCCCAATTGTTTAATTAAAAGAAGAAAAGAGCCCTCCCCAATCCAAAAGCTCTGCACAGCTCCAACCCTGGGAGAGTGCTCAGATGGGGAGAGGTCATCAGCAGAGCTGCCTCTCAGACAGCGTCCCTTACGTGCCGGAATGTGGAGTTGTGATGCCCTGCATCTCTGTGTACTGTGATGTTCTAGCATACACCAGTATGTGCACAGAAACCAATAAATAAACCAGCTATGTGCTAAAACACTGATCACCATTCTCTGTAGGTGGCAAAAGATGATAACTTTTAGTTTACTTTCTAGTACATTTATAATTTTCTACAACAAAAACATTTTATTTTTATGATTAGTTATCTTTTAGTCTTATTAATACTAGGATCAGGCTAGATCATTAATCTATTTACCTATGTAGTCTTCCTTCTAATCAGTCCATTACTTAAAGGTTCAATCACTGGGATTCTAGTTATGACCATAAATAAACGAACTTTTCTATTATCAAGTAATACTGCTGTGAAATTAAAAAAATACAACTATGTTCATATTAATGAATCATACAGTATTTCTAGGAAAGAAAGCTAACTGGAGAAGAAGTATTATAAAAGATAAAAAGTTAATACTTTCCACCAGTTAGGGATAACTACATATGTGACACAGATAAGGAAATGCATGAGAACCAGAGTGCCACATTCATGGTCCTAATACTACAATGATTTGTAGGAGATATCAAATGTACTGATAATTTCTACTTCTTAAAATAGCTGATAGGTACAGGAACATTACTCCTGTAGTGTCCATTCAGCAATGAGGAAAGAAGTTACCACAGGTTCTTAGGATTTGAATGTTTTAGACAAAACAAATCCAGATCGTGCCTATTTTTTTAACAGCTGATTTACATCCTTTCCCCAAATCAATTCTTTAAAATCATTTGCAATTTACTCAGGCAGGTAAGACAGATGTATGTATGTGCCATGCATTTTAGAGAGGCCAGTTCATTAAAAATATAATAGGGATGAGGCAGCGCAATATGAAATTTGATGCATCTGTCTTGATGCATAATGCCTGTGAAGGCAGTTATGCAATGGGCTTTATCATCCAACGTTTATTCTCATTATCAACGTGAATAGTAATTTAATCGGTGGTTCATTTGAGATGCCTATATTTGCCACATATAATCCAAACAGCTGCAGTCACTGGTTGGAAGGCACAGTCTCTGTGGGAACATCAATATGCAAACAAGGCCAAGACCTAGAAGCTTTGTTAACTCTCCATCCAGCTGTTAAGTGCATTTGTGAAATTAGAGTTGACCTATAAGTACACTGTAATGCTTTAAAATGTGGTGTTTGAAAAAAATCAATATGGTTAGGAAAGTGTACTAATTAGACAGCATCCGAGCAATTACAGAGCCAGTATTATGTCAACATACATTTTTATTACCCTGAGTCTAGTATTCATTTAAAAGAGACCTCCCAACTTCCTATTAAATATGTCCTTCCCAAATTACAAGCTAAAATCAATCAATAGTTTCTTCTTGAAATCTGTGGCTAGAGGAATGCATAAGAGGTAACAGGAGTAAGGAACAAAGCAGGGTTTCTATTTCAAATAAACCCCAACTCTGATATGGCTGGAGGTCTTATAAAAGGAGGGCAGACAATTCCACAAGAAACTAAAGCAGGACAATTAAAGGATTGTGAAGCATAAGATATTTTAATACCATATACTGTGAAATAGATCCTCAAGCCATTCGGCAATTACTAGATGAATTTTAAATAAAGGCTTGAGCATCACAGTGCCTGCGAGAGCTGCACACAATGGTGGTTTGCAAGGATTAACCCATTAACCAAGGATTCAGTGACTACGCACAGAGAGAAAAACCTTCTGCCCTCAAACTGCAATTTCTGCCCATTCAGATTTGACATGAAGATGGCCATTTTCCAAAACTGAGAGCAAACAATGTAGCCAGATGTGGAAACCTCCTACTGTGTTTAATTAAAGTTTCTTACAGGGCCTACACATCAATAGACGAATCCTACATCAAGTACATGTTGGGGTGATTCTTGTATGTCCTTATACTGGTAGGAAAAAGAAAAAAGTGTTCTTGCGGTTAAAATACTAGACATCTTCCAGGCCACTGTTTGTTTTCCCTTCTTTTGTTTGTTTGGATATTTTTGGTTGCTGTTTTGAGATAGAGTGTCTTGTTTTTTCAGGCTAACCTTGAACTCTATGTAGCTGAGGATGACTGAACTTCTGACCCTTCTGCCTCCATCTCTGAGTGCTGGGATTACAAAAGCATGCCACACCATTCCCAATGTATGTGGTGCTGGGGACTGAACTAAGGACTTTGTGCATGGCGGGCAAGCACTCTACATTCCTGGTCCTCTGTCAAACCACTGACACTTTTGTAAATTAATTCAGTATTTCCTTCTGTAATATTTTAAACTATCTACTTGCCATAAATACAAAGGCAAATTACACTGTTTAGTTGTTTGACAAGAAATAAAAAGCATAATGAGAAAATGAAAACTTTAAGGAAAAATAAACCACAATCTCGCTCCAGATCAGATTTGTAAGTAAATTCTGTCCAACTTATTTTGGAAAGTAAGAGAACAAGTCCATGGTTTTCCTTTTGGGAGAAGCCGCAGGAGCTGGTGTAGGTTAAACACACATATACACACACAGACAAACACACACACACACACACACACACACACACACACACACACACTGAATTTACAGATTTGGCGTGCTGTGCATCTGTGAACACTGCTGGAGGATCGCTACCTGACTGTCTCACAAGTCGAATGTCTCCACCCGCTCCCCACTAAAGCTTGAGCGGAGCACTCATCTACCTGCAGAGGCTGGAATCCGACATTCTTCTGGATTTACTCTTCTTCAGCCCCTCACCCAACCTACTGATTTAGCAAGTTACGTGGACACCACCTGAACCTTCATCCTGACACTGTTCCAGGGCAGTCCTTCACGAGCGCCCACTGTCAGCTGCTTTGAAAATGTGGCCAAAGACTCCACTCTTCACAGCCTGGCTTCTCAGTGACGGGAATCACCCTCACTGTTTTCAGGTGATTAGGGGGAGGCTACTTTCTCTCAGTGACCAGCATTTCTCAGCGAAAATGCCAACAGTAATAAAATAATAATAATAACCACACAAAAAAATCCTACTTCCTTTCCAGTTGGAATTTTATTATGAATTCCTGTTCTAGAACACAGATTCTATAAATACGAGGAAAAATGATCATCACATATTAACATCCAGATGACTAGAAAAACAAAAACAAAATGAGACGATGCAGGTAAAGGTGCTTTCATCAAGCCCAATGACTTAAACTTGATCCTCAGGACACACACGGTGAAAGCAAAGAGCCAACTTCTGAAAGCTATCCTCTGACCTCGATGCTGTGTGTGAGTGAGCATGTATGCATGTACACACACACACACACACACACACACACACACACACACATGCACACACACAGAAATAAATGTAATTTTAAAAAATTAAAAACAAAGCTGGGCATGGTAGCACAAGCCACTTGGGAGACAGAAGCAGGTGGATCTCTGTGAGTTCAAGGCCAGTCTGGTCTATAAGCTACACAAAGAAACCCTGTCTCGGAAAAAAAAAAAAAAAAAGAAAGTTCTACGACAGCCAGAGCTACATAGAGCGACCCTGTCATAAACAAACAAACTAATGAATAAAAACAAAACAAAACCCAAGATAGTATTATTAATGTTGACACTGAAGTGACTTTGAAGATGTTTGTCCTCATGTGCAATCTAGGTAATCAGAAGTTAAAACATAAAATTTTATGTGTTAAACTCTAAAGAAGAAATGAAGGGAGAACATCCGGGCAGATGACAAGTAGCTAGCTTACCGAAATGCTTGATTCAGAAGCTGGTAATGGAAATGTTCTGGTGCCAGGCCCATGACCACAGCATTGGGAGCATCTGTTTGTACTCCTGGCAATGGAAGAACGTAAGAGTTTAAAGCTGTCACACTGTATAAGAAAATCTCCAATTATGTGCACATTTTGCTATCACCATAATTTGAAGTACATTTTGGAAGTCTGAGAGAGAAAGAAAAAGAGAGAGGGGTGGGTAGGCAGAGGAGGGAGAAGAGAGGGACATTAATATTTTTCTATATTCTTCATATATGGTTTTATAGCTATTGAGTACCTAGAATATCTGAATAAAAATTGCAACTCGAGGCCGGGCGGTGGTGGCGCACGCCTTTAATCCCAGCACTCGGGAGGCAGAGCCAGGCGGATCTCTGTGAGTTTGAGGCCAGCCTGGCCTACCAAGTGAGTTCCAGGAAAGGCACAAAGCTACACAGAGAAACCCTGTCTCAAAAAACCAAAAAAAAAAAAAAAAAAAAAAAAATGCAACTCGATATTCACTAGTGATTCTTGATTTCAAACTGTTTTACTGATTACAACCAGGAGAACATCTATGAGTTTTATCAGAGCAACAGTGACTGATAAGGGAATGGAATTCTAAGAGGTAAGGGAAATTATAGACAAATATATGGAAAGCATCATCGTGTTGAATTCTACAGTTTTATAATAATTTCCTAATCTACTTATGGTTTCATGCATATTAAAGCATGCTTAAGGCTTTAGTATCTAATAACAGGACTTTAGATATGACAAGCCCATTTACCTTCATAATAATAATTTATGTACCCTTCATACACATAATTTTGCATCTGCTAATTCACATTTGCCCATCATTGTGTTCAGATACCCATTTTCAAATTTCTTCCTTACTAGTTGTCATGAGTATTACATAACTTGTTAAAGTTTGTTAAGGGAACAAACTAAAATAAGTACCTTTAGTGGGAACTGAGTATTTTTAGTGTTAATTCTTTTTTACTACATCTACTACTGAAGCAGAGATAATGTTGGCAAAGATATTTTCATTTTCTTAAAATATTCACATACATTGGTTATTTTCATGTATATAAACATGTTCCAAGAGGTAGAGTCCATCACTGAATGGCAAGATTTCTTTCAGCCCTGACTGAGGATTCTGCTTTTATATCCCAATTCTAGCTTACTGCTGCCACATCAGAATCTTAATATAGCTAGAATTTTAAAATTGTTTTTATTACAGTCAGAAAGGAAAAATCAGACTCAAATCTTGTGTGCTATCCTTCAGCTTGTTCAGAAATAACGATGTTGATTACAGAAACTTGTCTTGGTTTTCAGTTGCTCGGCTTCTGCATCACATTGGTAATCAGAGAACTTGTTGGCTCATGTGGCATCACAGGGGTAGAGGGAGCAAATACCCAAATAGTGGGTTTCCTTGCAGCTAAGGAGGGTGGCCCGAGACTAAAGCTCTGCTAGTCAGTCTGAAACACAGGGAAGCAGGAAGTTACTCCTCCCAAGTGGCTACCAACCTTATCAGGTTCCAGCTGCAGTGCCTGTTGGGGCCACAGGTCTAGCCAGAGATCACTCACAGGGACATGAGTGGCACCTGATTAGTTCTGTGGGCGCTGCTGCACACTGCTTCTGGCTTCACAGCCCTGAACACTAACTCTTCAGCTTCCTTGACAGTTCTGTGGGCTACCACATGGCCTTGTAAAAATCTTACATTTTAATTGTGTGTGTGTGTGTGTGTGTGCTCACAAGAGCATGCACGCATGCCAGCCATGGTGCAAGTGTGAAGGTCAGAGGACAACTTGGAGTTGCTTCTCCCCTTCTGGGTCCCCTTGGATCAAACCCAGAGATTTTCAGGCTTGTGGCAAGTGCCTTTATCCACTGAGCCATTTTGCTGTCCCATGACCTTTCTCATTATCATGAAAATATTCATAAACACATGAGAGCAGAAAGCCTAGTATTATAAGCCTAGATAGATCTGTCATCTAGCATTTTTCAACCATCGACAGTTTGCCAATTAGCCTTTGAATTTTTGGAAAGTCTTTCTAGAGCAAATTCCAGGTTATTATGTCATTTCACCCTTTCATATTTCAGTACTTGTTTTTAATAAATAAATAGTGAAAACATTAAAAACCTTAATATAAATATACCAAAAAGTTAATAGCTCCTAGTATCATTTAAATCTTGAATTTCCCCCAAAATCTTGAACTGTTTCTTAATATAGGGAGTGTCAAACTGGCAACCCCAAGGCCCATGTTGCCTTTGACGGTTATCTTTTATTTTTCATTTTGTAAGTTCACTTCCAGCCCTTCTCAGTGCAATAGACACTAACCCTGGCGAAGGCCAAACATTCTGCACTGGGCTGATTGTCTGTAGTAGTGTTTAAGTTGTTCCTTTATCCCTATCTTTCCTGTACACAGGACATTACATTGAGAGCCTGTATAGGTTCATATCCATAGTTTATTTCATAGGTGATACTATGAAAGATTCTGGTTAGTCCCCTTGCGGCGATACTGAAATTGATCAGCGGAGTCGAGGAGCTGTTACCCAGACCCCTCCACTTTGAAGGTCACATCACCCTTGCAGCTAATGCTTTAAGATCTATTGACAGTCTTGCCTGTTTCTTGAGGGCGTATCAAGTGCTGATGTTTAATTCTATCGTTTCTATCTGTGATTCTTTTATAAAGAACTTAGTTTTATCAACTATTTGTTTATCCTAAAATACAGCTGAATTGAAGAATTACGATAAGTGCTTGTCCCTTCTTTTCAGAGTTAAGGAGCTACAGCCCTCCCAATCTCCAGTCGTGGTCTATAAATAGTGGACTGAGCATCACTGGGCTTGTCTGTATGGTGTGTTGTAAAAACCACATCATTCATTTCGATATTCAAATCATTCCTTCTAGTGTTCTTTGGACATGCCCTCATCATGAGGTCTTCAGTAGTTTCTTTACTAACATACTGTACCAAGGAAGACTCACTGACTGCCTGTCTAGGCAGGGAGCCAGCCACTTCTCCAGGAGTGACAGACAGCAGGGAAATGGCAGAGTCTGAGCACTCACTGTCACTGTGAAGGCACACTCACTGGCAGACCTACACATCTGCAAAGTTCTCAGGGATGGTAATACGTTTATTTTTCAGTTGAATGTAGGCAAAGTTGTTTCTGCTTCTTACAAGTAACAATTCTGATTGATACATGGGTATATTTCCTATTAGTACAGGTTTGGAGGTCCTGACCAACCTGTAAAGCTATCACATGGCATTATAATTAAAATATTCACATCTATTTTGTATATTGTATCATTTCACAAAGTATCATTTATAACAACAAAACAATGCAGCAAAGCTTCATATAACTGACATTTTTCTATAGTTACTTTTTCCAAAGTGAAAAGAACCTTCTCTTTATTGAAAAATATTTCACATTCATTGTGAAATACTTGTACTGTCTACAATGGCATCTATTTTTAAGAAGGCCTTAATTTATCTCATTTAACCAAGATAAGAGAGCATATCCTGGATTATGAATTGTAATACTCGAAATATTTCTTTTTTTAAACCATGGCTCACAATTCACTAAAAGATTATGAAATTAATTTGGAATGCTCTAAGTAGCATTAAAAATCAAACAACTCAGCTGGGCAGTGTTGGCGCACGCCTTTAATCCCAGCACTCGGGAGGTAGAGGCAGGCAGATCCCTGTGAGTTCAAGGCCAGCCTGGGCTACAGAGTGAGTTCTAGGAAAGGCACAAAGCTACACAGAGAAACCCTGTCTCAAAAAAAAACAAAAACAAAAACAAAACAAACCAACTCAAACAGATAATACAACATATCTCACAAAGTTAAAGTACTATTTAACACATAGCAAAACACACACACACACACACACACACACACACACACACACACACACCACTATACAGTGAATTTTTCTTATTGTGGATGGTGGTTAAAAAGATGTGAGAAACATCAACTCAGATTCAAACTCCATCAACACAGCTGGTGACCTGGAAAAGTCAGAAGTACAGAGGCAGCTTTCATCCCTTGTCTATAGCAGCTCCTAACGTGGCAGAGCTGGCCCGCCAAGCGTTAGGAGGGGAAGTCACTGTACTGCTATGGACAAGGTTGTTACTGTTTTGTCTGTTCGTTTTGTGGACCATTCAGTAGTAACAGGGACATCTAGGAGACGCCTCTTCCCCACGATTTCAGGTATGAAGAACTTGTCTGTACTTCTTCCGAGTCTCTCTCACCTGTGAAATCAGGCAGTGCACGGTCATCAACCAACAACATGGGCCTGACTTGTTTCTGCTCTACCAAGTTTCGGGCTGCCGTCAGAGAAGTGAAGATTTCGTCTTCGGAGATGTCAAACTCTAATTTTTTCAACCTTTCCAGTAAGTCTTGCTTGCTCTCTTTGGTTGTGTTGGTCACAAACCTAACCACCACAGAAGCAGCACGTAACCTGGAAAAGTAAAACTCACAAGTGAAGAGGCTGCTATCCCCTCCTAGTCCATAAAGCCCGCTAGCTGGTCAAGTGTTAGGTGTGAGGGTAAGTCACTGTGCTGTTATGGACAGTTTTTTGGATTTTTTTTTTTTTGTCTTTTTAAATCTCCCAATGCTTACAAATTAGCTACACCCTATGGGCAGTACTTCACCTCCAAAAGCTGGAATGTTAAACTTTGAAAGCTACATCTACTTTTGTGGGGCCTTCTGGACTTTAGCTACCCTTTGCTGTGGAGTTCAGTAAAGAAATGGAACCCTACTGTCCTCACAGGTCTGAGAGGTGAGTTATCTTAAAGATCATCCACTAATGTAACATGACAAAACTAAGGCTTATAGAGCAAGCAACACCCGAGTTTTATTCAGCCAGGTACCAGGGGGCCATGACAATGTTCTGGCATAGTGTTTTATTTCCCTTATTAAAAGAACCAAGAATGCAACAGTTACTAGAGACTTGTGAAAGTAATTTGGAAGCAAGTAAAATTAAAAAAAAAACAAAAAAACAAAAAACCCAACAAGTCCAAAAGATAATCCAGTACATCTCACAAGATGTTGGTAGAGATGGTCACACCCCAGTGAGTCACTGTGTTTATCAACAGAAGCTACTTGGACAGCTCAGAGATGCTCAAAACTGGTTTTTTTGTCAGACTCAGGAACTGTAGAAGAATGAAAAGTCTGAGGCTGCCCTGGGCCATACAGTGAATTCAAGGCCAGCCTGGGCTACACAGCAAGGCCCTGTCTTCTCTTGAACTGTTTACATGCAGGAATAATTTGATTCCACAATCTGCTTTTGAATAATTGGCATGGTTTCAGAGAAAGAATTTGTGAATCTATCCTTTAAAAATATTCTTTTCTTGGTTCAATAGTGTTTTAACATAAAATCTAAAAGTGATTACAATTTAGCTATAATTTAGAATTTATATTAATAGCCTGTTGCTTTTTATATCTTCCCCAGAAGGCTACAAGGCATAAAAGTACTAGACACAATTTAAAGCAAGCAAATAAATCAAATAGAAGAGTTTTAAGAATTCACCCAGAGAACATTAAATAAATTTATTTGATTAATTCACTGTAATCATGATTACCTCTATAATATTTGTGTGGTCGATTTTCAGCAATGTGGTGGTTTATCTCACAAAAGAAACTACTTTGACATGGTTCTTATCCTAAAAATTTGGGGTTACTGTGCAATAACCACATCAGTTTCAATGAGTTTAAAAACAAACAAACCAACTTTTTGTATAGCTAGTCCTTCAACTTCCCTTGTCTATTTGTTTCTATAGAAACCACAGTGGTATTGCCAGTGCAGAGATTTCCCTGGTAGGAAAACCTTCCAGTGACTCCGACAGAACCATGGCCAGCCTCCTGCCTGGCAGAGTGGCAGGCTCATAGGTTACACAGCATCACAGAGGTGTCTCTGTTCAGCGGAGATAAAAAGGTTTTTCTCTCAATCTAGAGCAGAAAGCTCCTCTTCAAAGCAGTGAGACCCAGTAGTGATGTGTGGTTTTGCTGAACTTGTGGACAAAAATTTAAAGACAGGTAGGAAATTAGTCCTCTTTTTCAACCCAGAACTCTCTGTTCAGTGTGGGTTTATGTACATATATATGGAGGGATATGATACTCACAACAATCAAAAGTAACAGGTATCAACAGTAGCTTTTATCTTGAACATGAGGTCTGGAGTTGAATGTCCATGACTTACTGTGAATGAATGCCGGTTGTTTCAATGAAACACCGGCACATCCCAAGGTCTGCAGTATGCCTCAGTGTGACTGACAGCTTGTGGGAAGACTATCTGAGCTCACTCGTGCTAAGGGAAGTGGCCCAGCATCCATTCTAAAATAGATTCTGAAGTAAATTGCTTCTGGAAATTAATGGTAATAATCTTAGATAGGGAATGCTGAAGTTGCCATCAGTATTTCCATAGTTCAAGTGTAGATCAAAGAAAATCAAACAAAAGAACCGTGGGCTGGGAGGGCAACTGGAGTAGACATCAGCTCTCTCCAACCAGAAGGCGATCTGGAAAAGAGATCTCAAGCTTTGGCGTTGGAGAAGCCATGGTGACTCTGATGAGTAATAAAGGAAGCACAAAGAAATCCCTTAATAAAAAATAAAGAGTTGAAGCAATTCTGCCTGATTTCACTAGTTTTTATAAAGCCCTTTATACAGCTGGTAGAAAGCATGAATTTTTAGCTCAGCTTCTCTAGTGTTTTCTATGTAGGAAATAAAAATTAAATTTAGCTGTTAAAAATAAATAGAGCTAGGGATATATCTCAGTTGGAAGAGTGCCTGCCTAGCATGCACAAAACCCTGGGTTCTAGTCCCCAGGACTGCATAAGCTGGGGGTGGTGGCCCACACCTGCAATTCTAGTCCGAGAGATTAAATAAGGAGGGTTAGAGGTGCAAAGTCACTCTAACTAGCTTCTCATGTTCAATCCTCTACATGGAGAGTTAAGTCCCAGGGACACTGGCTTCTCATGTTCGATCTTCTCCATGGACAGTAAGTCCTAGGGACACTGGCTTCTCATGTTCGATCCTCTCCATGGAGAGTAAGTACCAGGGCGAGGACGAAGCCTATATCTGCTGCTGCCCTCATAGCCAGCAGTGGTGACACTTGTCACCAGAGTTTTGGATTAACAGCACACAATGAATACTCTAAGGTTGGAAAATGACAAGCACCAAATTTTATATTGTTGGTTTTGAAAATCTCTACATTTTTTCATGACACCTGGAAGCAAACATCCATATTCAGTTCACATTGTGTATATATGTGTAATATGCACACGTGTGCGGGCATGCATGTGTGTACATACATACGGCCAGAGGACCATCTCAGGCGTTACTCCTTTGGTGCTGTCTACCTCTCTTGAGCACGTCTCCCCTTAGCCTGAGGTTTGTGGATCTGGCTAGGCTGGCCTGCCAGTGAGCCTCCACCACACCTGGCTTTACGTGTGTGCTGGGGACTGAACTCAGGTCCTCGAGCTTGCAGGACAAGCACTTCTTTACTGACCCACCCCTCTAGCCCCTCAGTTCTCTTTATCATGCCTTTACCATGTTCTCTGCTTGTTTCTAGACTCTTGTTAGTATTGTAACTGGTGAATCAGAAATATAAGGCAGTCTTTAATCTTTGCAAGTATCAAATTTAGTTGATGGAAATATTTCTAAAAATTCCAAGTTTTTCAAGCAAGCATTATTTTCAACAGTTGCAAATTCAATGTTAGGAGGTTGAACATGCCTGCGTGCCTGTATATATATTTCAGCTGGATTCCAGGAGTCATGTGATTTTTTTCCAGTGCTACTGATTCTATATTTTTAGAATTAAATTATTATTTTAGTTTCTTGAGTCTTCATCCCCAATTTACATTATTGATTTAAAAAACCAGAGTGGGGGAGGGAGGAGAGAGAAGAAAAAGGCTAGAGCAAAAGGCCAAACCTAATAAAGGCAGGGAGAACAATGTTCGGAGGATATTACAATGCATACATCTTCTAGCGAAACCCAAGGCAGCTCCCCCACGTATGGTAGGCTGGTGAAACGCCATCTCAAGGCCATCCATTTAGCTAATGATCCGCCTTGGTAAAGCGGCACTTAAAAACGTATTTGTCATCTGAACCTGGAGGATAGCTTGCCTTTTAAGAGCTTCCTGTGCGCCTGGCACAGCTGCATCTTCAATGTGAAGTGTGCCACTGAGATCTACCAAAACAGCTTTCAACGCACGGCGCGCTGCCATCCTTCATTCCCTAGGAGAGAGCAAATGAAATTAAAAATACAGTTTAACAAACAATGGACAATTAAAAACTGGTAAGCAATCAAAAATACCATTCACATCCAGGAAGATATTGCTTAGTGTTAAGCTGCTTCTCTTTTGGAAAAAAACAAATTAGCATTTAAAAAAATCAAAACCCCAACATTTAATGCATGAAACTTTTAATAATGCTTAGGTTTTTATATATTTTCTTTTTAATCTTGAGTTAGGACTTGGGAAGGAAATGCTAAAATGAGATGCTACTACCTACTTTCAGGTTTCTTAGAATAACTCTGGTGAATAATTCGTTTAAGTATGAGAATAATGAATACATAAACAGGAACACTACATTAACAAGGTCTTTTCATTTTTGGTTATGGACAATTAAAACATTCTAATTGCCACTGCTATGTTCTGAACTGGTGTGTGGCCAAGTAGCTGCCAGTATTTATAGGTTACTAAGGGTGGAAAAATTAAGTTATATAGTAACAATAAATAAACTGTATAAATATACACACATATATACATACATATATGTGTATTTAAAATAGGGTCTCATATAGTCCTGGCTGAACTCCCTGTGCAGCTGAGGATGACCTTGATCCTCCGGCCTCCACCTCCCAGCCATGCACCACCATACCAGGTTCTTACAGTGTTGGAGATTGAGTCCTGGGCTTTGTGCATGCAAAGATAGCATGCTCTCAGCTAAGCTACAGTTCTAGCTCCATGTAGCAATTTTTAAAGATCGCTTCCTCACTTTCTAATGTGCAACTTTACTTTGTACATTTCCCCCTCAAATACTTGTTAAATACTTAGTTTATTTGACAAGGTCTTGTTACAGCCCAGGCTAACCTTGAATTTACAATCCTCCTGCCTCCTAAGAGCTGGAGTTACAGGCCTGTGCTATCATGTCCGACCCCTTAATCTCTATTGTGAGTTATAGCATCTAATGATAAATACAGTTTATAGATCATTGCAGGGGTGGGCTTAAAATGTAGAGGCTCAAGAGAAGGACTGATATTTGATTTGAGACTTAGGGTTTGTTTTGAGACAAGGTCTTACTATGTAGCCATGCTTGACCTGGAACCATTCTGTAGACCAGGTTTGCCTCCAGTTTGTAACAATACTCCTGCTTCTGTCTCCCAGTGCCAGCATTATAGACATTTGTCACCATGCCTGGTGACTTATTAAATTTTTTAAATTAGCTAACCCATTTATAAGTCACTTATTTTTTCTATTTGTTTGTTTCTTGTCTTTACAAGGTATCTTTATTAGGGTTACTATTGCTGTGATGAAACATCATGACTAAATAACCTCGGGAGGAAAGGGTTTATTCAGCTTACACTTCCACATCACTGTTCATCACTGAAGGAAGTCAGAACAGGAACTCAAACAGGGTAGGAACCTGGAGGCAGGAGCTGATGCAGAGGCCATGGAGGGGTGCTGCTTACTGGCTTGCTTCCATGGCTTTGCTCAGCCTGCTTTCTTATAGAACCCAGAACCACCAAGCCAAGAGTAGCACCACCCACAATGGGCTGGGCCCTCCCCAGTCAATCACTAATTAAAATGCCTTATAACTGGATCTTATGGAGGCATTTTCCCAATTGAGGTTCCCTCCTTTCAGATGACTCTAGCTTGTGTCAAGTTGACATAAAACTAGCCAGGACACAAAGAATACTGTCAGCTATACAAAAAGGTATTAAGAACAATAAAATCATCCCTTTTACCTATCCTTCAACTTCAGAAGACAGGGATATATAGTCAAAGCCTCTTGTTTACCTTCTTTCCCAAGTCCTCTTCTTATACAATTAATGTTTTATATTAATATTGTGTACACTTAGCAATTTGCCAAATCATTCCCTATCATGTTAGATATGTGTAGGTTACTATAGGTAGCTTTGGACATTCATTTTTACTACTGTATTCTACTATATAAATGCAATATAATTACGTTCTCCTAATCATGAACAATTGTAGTTTTCCTACTTTAACAAGTTTGTGTGTCTCTTGTGGATACCAGTGAGCATTCCTCTGCAGTCTTGCAGGGTCTGAAGGTGTACACTCATCCTCCCTTTAGAGAATACTGTTAAGTTGCAATCATGGTGTCATTTTATACATTTGGCACAAAACTCCTCCATAGAAGAATTTGTTCATTTTAAGAAAAAGGCTGGGTATGGTGGTGCAGGCCAATAATGCTGGCTCCAGAGTTCAAGAGCATCCTTGGTTATATAGTTGAGTTTGAGGCCAGCCATCCTCACCCTAACCCACCCCAAAAAGGAAAGAAAAAAATAAATTCTGCTTGTCTTTGCCAAGTATCTACTGGGAAAGAAGAGTGCAGAGACAAAAAAAAAAAAAAAAAAAATTTAAGAACAGCCAGCAGTCAGGGCTGGAGAGAGATAGTTCAGTGGTTAAGACCACTTACTGCTCTTGTACAGGCCCAGGTTCAGTTCCCCGAAGCCACACAGCAGTTCAACTGCCTGTTCCAAGTAACCCAGTTCCAAGGAAATATGACTTTCTCTTCCGATTCCCTTGGGCTCCTGCCTGCACACAGATACACTTAGGCACACACACACACACACACACACACACACACACACGTAATTAAAAAAGAAAAAAGCTGCAGTCAATCAAGGCTTAAGTGCAAAACTCTCCCTTTTATGAGTCTTTATGACATTCTGTCCTGGTCTTTATTGTGACCTCAAAATGAAGATATGGTTGTGCATCCCTGTGATCTTAGCGTTTGAGAGGTCGCAGCAGGACCACAGCAAGAGACCAGTCTGGGCTGTAGAGCAAGTTCGTGATCTACACGAGCGAATTAGCAAGGCCATGTCTCATAACTAAAAGGTAACTGAAGGTTACATTACTAAAGAACAGAAGACTAGAAAAACACCACCAGGAAGAACTGTACTTAAACAGCTATCCAACTAGAGTCAGGGAATAATCACAAAAACTACTGATGGTTTTAATTCCTCCAGAAGCACCCAAAGGTATAATGTTACTTTAAAAAGTCTACATCTTTTTTTTTTTTTTTTTTTTTTTTTATCATTTCCACAGACCATACCTTGTTCTTTCAGGAAGGGAAAACAGAACTCAGATGCTCCAAACTTCAATACACCCACTTCTTCAGCTAGTCCTGCTAAACCTTGGTCACATATGCCTGGTTCTCTCTTCTGAACCCTTAAAATTCCTGTTAACTAAACTACACACTAGTATTTGACGAAAGAAACTTGGTATCCGTGGGCATGGTCCCAAGAGCCCCTAGAGATACCGAAGTCCTCAAATCCCTTTTCTAATGTGGTACAGTACTTGCTCAGAGCCATCCCCTCCTACTAGACAACTGGAATAGTCTTTCAATACAGGACTTAAAACAATGTAAATAAACGCTGTGTAGAGTTGTTATACGGACTCCTTTAGGGAATGATGACAAGAACTTCATACTGTTTAGCATAAATAAAATTTTATTTCTCCTTTAGAATATTTCCTGCCCTCCCTCCCTCTCTCCTTCCTTATGGTTTTCCTAGAACAAAATCAGTCTAAGCTGACCTTGTACTCATGAATCTGCCTCCTGAGTGATGGAATTGCAGGTGCCTCCTACCACTGCATCTGGCTTTTTTGAAGAAGTTCTGATCGGCAGTTGATTGAATGTGCAGATACAGACCCTGCAGATAGGGAGGGCCAACTGCAATGATAAATATGAGTATCAACCTGGAAAGAAATATAAGGGCTTCAAAGAAGTCTACAGTTTTGCTCTAATCTGGGACCAACACTGTGCATTATCCATAGCTTGTTTGTTTTTTTTCCCCCTCAGACAGGGTTTCTCTGTGTATTCCTGGCTGTCCTGGATCTCGCTCTGTAGACCAGGCTGGCCTTGAACTCACAGAGATCCACCTGCCTCTGCCTCCCGAGTGCTGGGATTAAAGGCGTGCGCCACCACCGCCTGGCTCGTTATCCCTAGTTTGAACAAATTCTATAGAATCTCTCTTTAAAAGTTATAAACAGCTGGACTACCAAGGTAGGCTACAAAAACAAAAGAACAAAACAAAATAAAACAAAAACCCCATAAACAACTGATGGGATCTGTTCAGTGCAAAGAAAAAAACACATTTATTTTTATACCAAGCAGAACTGGTCCAAATACTGCAAAGTGCTGTTGCCCTAAAGAAAATCTTTGGGCCAGTTCAATCTTTACCTGAAAGCTGCTCTTCCATCTGTAAACCATGAGTGGCTGTACCAGGAATCCAGATGCTAAATCCAGTCAGTCCTACCACCTTCGGTGTTCAGTCTAACTGCTCTTTCTTAAAACGATCTTAGTTTTAAGATCACCTCTTAACTATTTTAGGAAAATCCCAAAACTCCTCTCCGATGTCTCTTAGTCAGTCTCAAATCATTACCTGGAATGCAGGGGCGGCAGCTGAGTATAAGAACAAAGAGGGTGCACATGCCTGGGTAGGAACCCTGACTACATGAACTCGGGACATTTTAGCTGCTTAGCCTGTTTCTTCACTGCTGAGAGTATTAAACGCATGGACAGTGCTCCATGTTTGAAAAGGTGGGGTTCTGTATCTGAGGTTGAGAAGGGAGAGTACATAATGATGCGATAAGAGCTATAAAAAAAATCACCAAGATAAATACGAGAGTTGGGAATTGATAAAACTATCAAAGCATTTGTATTTGTGGAATATAATTAAATATAATTAAAATAAAAACTTGGTAAATATGATAAAACATGAGATTTCAAACAAATTATTCTCTTTGAGTTTTTCCAATAATGCCACTTGGACGCTCAGGCTTAAAACGCCTCCCTTTTCTTACAGTTCCCGACCTTTTGGGAAACCATTATGTGCATTAATAAATGATACTATTATTCATGCAGCCATTCTCCTATTAGATCTTCTGTAGGATCCCCATACCCTCAAGAAGTCCAAACAGCGAACAGCGGTGTACAAAGTGGTGTCCTTCGCCTCTTCAACCGATGTGACTTTACTCCCACACCCACACTGAGTTTGCTCAGCGGTAAGACTTCTGCTTCCCTCATGGGTGGCTGTCTAAAACTGCGGCATCCCTTACCGTTCTCCTTGCCTCTGGCCACCTCCTTTCGTGCTTAATCTCAGATACCATTTCCTCTAACCTCAACTTCTCTCCGGGCGTCTGGGCGCCCCCAGTATAAAGCCTACCAACCTTGCGCCACCCTGCTTACATGTCCCATTAAACTGCAGAGCTCTGAAAATGGAAGAAGGGCCGTTGCCTTTTCCTACGAGGACGCTCAAAACAGACTCTTAAATCAACTGAACTCGTGCATTTATCTGAGCTGGGAAGACTTAAGAGCAAGGACCTCTTTGCAAACTCCACTGCAATGGCTTCCACCTCTCGGGGGAAGGCGCCTCGGCCCCTGGATTCTGCCCTAACTCGAATTCCAGGGTCTGGGGAGGCTGGCGTCCGTCCTCTACGGGGCAGGACAGTAGAAATGACGACCACACAGGAAACACCCGCCTTGGCAAACAGCCCGCCTAACGCCAGGGCAAACCCTGGGAGACCGGTTCTGCGCGTGCGCAGGCCGCAGAGGGGCGGTCACCGGCGGGACGGGGAGGCCCGGCCCGGGCGGCGCGGTTCTCTCAGCGTGTCGCTGGCGTTTCCCCAACCCGCTCACAGGGAATGCAGCCTCCGGCAGGGGCGCGACCGCCATTCCCAAACCCTCCGCCTCCTGGCTGCGCGCGCCTCCTCACCCTCGCTGCCCCGCCGTCCTCTGGAAAGGCCAGCGCGTCACGGTGCACAACGCCTGACCCGGATGGAGTCCCGACGCGCCGGAAGTCCCGCCCTGCGGCCCCGCGCAGCGCCCGGGATTTCTGGTGCGCCTCCAGAGGGGAAGAGGCCGCGGTTGGCAAGCGGGCAGCCTGTGAGCCTGGGTGCGCGAGGGAGCCATCACCTCTGCAGTTGCTCGGTATAGAACCTCATACCGCAGCACCGTTGCCCAAACATAGCCTCCTCCGCCTATTCGCTTCCCTATTTCTTGTCCGCTTCAGAGGCTTCAGAAGGCTTCATAATCCTAACATCCCATGCCCCATGTCTCCTATTTTGGTACTTCAATAGCGTTGGCGTTTACTTGTGTCCCAGTAACTTCAGGCCTCTGCATCTTTCCATCACGCCATCCAAACCTGTGCCTTGGGCCTTCCTTGTCTGCTTCTCCTTCCATGAGAGCTCCCATGGGCCTTACCTGTTTTTAGGGGAGCAAGATCTTGGTCCACTTGCCTCGGCCCGCTTCACCGCCCCTTTCTGCACACTGCTTGTCTCCTAACGCTCCAAATGAATTGAATGCAGGCATAGGCATCCTTATATGTCCACTATGTGTGAGGGTTAATTTTTGTCAACTTAACTAGGTTTGAAATCGCCTAATGACATACCTTTGGGCGTGTCTATGAAGGTGTTTGCAGAGCTTATCCAAGGGAAGGACCCTTCCTTAAGGTAGGCCGCATCATCCTATGGACCGAGGTCCCAGGCTAATTACAAGGGGTTGGAGAGCAGCCAGCCGCGCGCCAGCATTTGCCTCTGCTTCCTGTGGGTGAATGTGACCAGCAGCCTCATACTTTTGTTGCCATGCATTTCCCCACTATGATAGACCATATCCTTAAACCAAAACAAACCCATCTTGAGTTGTTTTTGGTCAAGTACTCTGTCACAGTAGTGAGAAAAGTACTTAATACACCATGAAAATGAATTAACTTTTCAGGAGCAGTGTGAGGTGACGGTTTAGACATATGGAACCTCTTGTTGAGACTGCTGCTCTGATGCCAACCCACAACCCATATGCCACAGAGCGCCACGTTCTCTACGCAGTCTTGCAGTCAACAGTGTTACTGAGACAGATGAGGGAGACCCACCTCTCCTTGGGAAATGGGGTGGAGAAGTCTGTTAAGATCACTTTGCCTAGTAAACAGGCCTTACTGTAAGCACTCACTTTGTAACAAGCAAAGACCCTGTGGAACAGGCAGCTGTGAGCAGAAAGCCATCCTGACTCACCCTATGCCAGCACCAGTCATCCCAAACACTCCACAGACACTGTGCTGGTTGGAATGAGGACCCGCTTCCCCCATGTATTTGCATACCCAGTTGATGAACTGTTTGGAGGGGATTAGGAGGTGTGTCCTTGTTGGGGGAAGTTTGTCGTTGGTGGGCAGGTTTTGAGGTTTCAAAGGTCTGCCAGGCCGTTTCTCTCTGCCTGTAGCCTGTGGATTAGGATGTAAAGCTCTTAGCTACTGCACCCGCACCATGATTATAACAGGCCGACCCTCTGAAACTGCACGTAAACCCCCAATTAAATGCTTTCTTTTGTAAGAGTTGCCTTGGTCATGGTGTCTGTTCACAGCAATAGAACAGTGACTAAGACAAAAGTCTTGAGATGACAGCTGTGATGGCTATTATTGGTTATTACCTTGACGACATCTGGAATCAACTACAACTCAAGCTGAGGATACTTGAGCAATTTTTTCCTTTTCAGTTTTTTGAGACAGGGTTTCTCTGTGTAGCACTGGCTGTTCTGGAACTTTTGATGTAGCCCATACTGGAGGAACTTTTTTCTTAATTAAATCATTTGAAGTGGGAAGACCCACCTTTAATCCTGATCTTTTGAGGTAGGAAGATCCACCTCTAACCTGGGCCACATTTCTGCTCACAGCCTATATAAAGACACAGAAGGAAGTTGGTTCTTTTTGCCTGCCCGCTCTTGCTGGCAAGTTTATTCCTACACTGGCATTAGAGCCTGCTTTGGGAATCTGGCATGTACTAAAGACAAACCGAGACATCCAGCCTTGTGGAGTGAACCACTACTGGATTCTTGGACTGTCCATTGATAGATGGCCATTGTTGAACTAGCTGGACCACAGCCTGTCAGCCAGTAGGGTGTAAGCCACTCTAGAGAACCTTGAGGAATACACCACCACAGTGGTCATGCCTGAATACCCTACCTTCTGAAGGTGCAACCTGAGGCAGGTCTAGATGAGTTTGTACCAGGCATTTTGTTAAAAGCCTGGTGCAACAGTTGTGAGTGTGACTGACCTCAAACACAAGCCCCAATGGCTGTAAGCTGGTAGTAAGGGGCAAAGCTGTGACTGGTTCCAACATCCCTTCTCGGCTCTGGAAGGAGGCTGTCTAGGTTCACTGCATCAACAGGGAGACACTTTCCTGTGCTGCCTCTCCTAGTACTGCAACATGAGGTGTCATGAAAGGCTTCTCTTGAACAGTCTTCCTTCCTTCCTCCCTCCCTTTCTCCCTCCCTTCCTTCCTTCCTTCTTGTAGGGTGAGGTAGTAATGCCAACAAAGCAGGAGAGTAACAGTGGCATTTATACAGCTCAGCAGGTGGCGCGGTTGAGTTACAGAGGGGCAGCCAGCTGCAGCTAAACAGCTCCAGTGGCCAGAGCGAGAAAAAAGGGAAGGGCGGCAAAGAAGAGCAAAATGGCCGAATGCCAAGACAGATAAAAAAAAAATAATAAAAGCCTGTAAGGAGCCAGAGAAGATAAACTGTAGGTTTGATCACTGGGATAGTTCATGAGACCAGCCAAGTCTTTAAAGCTAAGAAACTCCAAATGCCTAGGCCCATACAAAAGCTGTAACACTGGCTACTGCCAAGGGCTGAGGCATAGGACTGCCTGGATGCTATGATGTCAAACACAGTCAGCGACTTTTGAATCTTGACTTTGCAGGCCCACCCCAGAGTTGTAACACTAAGAGGACTAAGGGTGCTGAGGCCCTCACCAAGTCTGCAGCCCTCTCATGCTCCTCCCACCTGCCTGCCTGCTCCAGTCACGGCTGCCTAACACCAACAGAAACAACCACTGTCAAAGACCAGCTCCTTGTGGAGCTTTACCTGTCAGAGCATCATAGTTCTGCTCCTTTCTAGTTTGGGACTGCAGTTCGTAAGCAAAGCCTGAAAACTACACTGTACTTGAGTAAAATTGTGTTGTAGATTTAGTGTCTACAGTAGTATCAAGGTCCTTGAAAACAGAGCAAGGCACAGACATTGGCCAGAGCACGAAGACCATAATTACTAAAACATTTGGAGTCTACGAAGATCACATACTATTAATCCTGAGAATGGACAAGGGGGAGGATGTGGGAGGGAATTGGGAATGTCAGGCTACTGTCGACTAGAAAAAGACACTGCAGTTTCTGAATCTCATCCACTCCAGGGAAATCAGGGCCCCTGGCCAACATCAAAACTAGATTATGAGCTTGGTCCCAGAAGCAAATGTTCTGGAGCGAGTGCTTCTTGCTCTCAGAACTGCTTTGCTACAGAGTACTCTGGTCTTGCTGGGCTCCGAGTAGAGTGAACTTGAACAATATTCCAAACTAAATCAGTGGAAAGGTGTGTTGTTATGTCTTACATGAACAGTGGGGTTAGGACCAAAGTCTCTGAAAATTTTGTATGACTCAGTACATAGGAATAGGAATGCCCTGAATTGATTGCTTTTTAAAGATCTGAATAGAGGCTCAAACTTGGACTTAATCATCGTCAATGTTTTAAAAAAATAAAACTTGGTGTGAGTCACCAAGACTGACCTATTAACTCTTAAGCTAGAGGAACATTCTAGTACCAAGTATGCTAGTTCCTCATAGAAGCCAAGCATTCAAAGGCATTTTCCTGGTCTAGCTGCCAGTCCTTACGTCCAAATGAAAGATCAGCCCTCTCCAAATGAGGCATGATCAGAAGGTCTTCTGCACCTGCTTCAGTTTTAGATCCTGAGTTGAGGATCCTCTTTATTTATGTCAGCAATTCAGTTAATTCACTGAAGAAGTAAATGAATTATGAATATTAATTTTATTACATCTCTATTCAGCAATTTTACAGTAAAGAACAAAACAGACATCAACAAATTAATAGTGCTAGGTTTATACTAAAGCACAAACCAAATGCTTGAGTTGAAAAGTCAACTTTATTTATAAAAGTTTTCCTACACAGAAAGATGCCATCCCACCCCTTTAAAATATTGTAACTGAAACATAATACACAATAGTTGCACAGTTTAAATCTTCCCATATAAAACTGTACTGTAGTATTATGGGATGAGCAAAGAACCTCACAAAGTTGGCCTAAAACATTAACAAAAGACATAAAAACAAACCAACAAAAAATAAACGTTATCTAGCATAAGTGGTCTACTGACAGACAGAATGAGCAACCAAGAATCATACTTTTACCATGCTCCTCCACTAAGAAATAGAAATATGACCTGGGAGCAGGGAGCACTTCAGGCCTGCTCCAACAGCTGACTTTGTGATTGTATGGGCTGATTTTGCCAACTAACAGTTATACTGATTTTATCAAACAAATCACTGTTGTAAAAAGGGAAGACTTTCTACCAATGAAAATACGTAAATACTCTGGTCTCACTGTTCAGGTCAACAGCAGCATAAAAAGAACTTAAAACCACAGTTACCAAACAACTGATTTACAGAATTAGAATTCTACCTAAAATCAGGGTACTGCCCCATGTAGTTATCTATACATTTCTTTATAGCAGAGATGATGTAGACTAGTTAACCAAAGAGCTCAAAATAAATTACCAAAATTACCAATTTGTCAATTATATGTAATTGTTCCTTTAAAAAACTCTTTAAGTTTATATAGGAA